AGTGAAAACTTAATATAGTAGCCACATGAGTCACGCACCAAGATTCACTTATTATTTTAAATCTGTGAATTGGTTTGAGTTTAAATTTAATTCATACTATGTTTTATTATTTTTGTTACTTTAGTTAATTAATTTATTAAACTATGGTTAATTTTGTTATATTAATAATAATTACATTTTTCCATTGAAGGAATAGTTTTTTATTTGCCATATGTTGAAAGAACAGTTATTTTTGTTATTTAACTAATTATTTTATTTGAATATCTAATGATATGTTCTTTAAAAAAAAAATTCGAATCAAATTTTAAAATTCTAATTTAAAATCTCAAAATTTTAACTAATGAGTTCATCCACGAGTTATTTACTCATGTGTTAATCGATAAAAAGTTAGTTGTACTACGTAAGAAGGTTAATGAAATAAAGCTTAATCCCTAGTTATTACTCCCCGTTACTATCCACCATATGGAGTGGTAAAATTGTTTATGTTTTTAAAATTGTTCATGTTTTTAACTATAGCTTTAAGATTTAGTCCCTAATTACCACATTCCAAAAAATAAAATAAAGTTTAAAAATGAAAATACAAGAGGATTATCATTAATATAAAATTAAAATATAAATTTATAAAATTAAATATCAGACTAAAAACATTTACGAGTCAACCCATTTCACCCAACCCATCAAACTTGTTATCCATTCTGAAGCCATACTCAACCAACCTAACCTTTTGTCATATCTAACTGAAATTGAATCTCATAAACCCCAGAACAAAAATAAAGAAATCACTGGAAAAATGATGTTTCTGGAATCCCCCAATCATCACATAATTTTAGAAGAATGCATTGCTGGAGTGGTTGAACCCACCGTGGAGGAACCGTCATTGCCATGTACCAAGCTGAAGAGATTATAGGGTTCATTTAGCTGAGGAAGGAGAGATTGTACAGCTTTTAGAGTTAAATATATGAACTAAACTTGTCATTTGGAATTCCCACCCGAACTTGAAATTGTTATTGCTAACAAAGAAGGCTATAAGAGGGCATGTCTTCAATCCGTAGAACATCATCCATTAGAAGTTCTTTTTCTAGCTGAGTTCTAGTTGACTTCAAGACATCCTGTACAAAACATGGAAATTTTCTTACTTAATACCATCTAACCCAGCATAAAATCACCGCAAAAATGCTCGTTGTCACAAACAAACTTATCAACCATGACAATACTAAAATAGGACTGATAAAAATAGGACTTCACTTAGGAGTGGTAGAATTCTCACATTGAACTCCATGTATGTGGCATTCCTCTCCAGCCATTGTTTGTCCATAACCACAAAGGCGACACAGTAAAGCAAGTCAAAGGCCCACTCATTTTCTGAGAACAGATAGGAAGAGTGATTAGATTAATCAGGAGTGTTGGAACTTAGAAGATGAATCAAATGATTCTCATGACTCTGACCGCGGGCTCTTACCTGACAACATCTGTAAGAAAACTGATCTGATAAATGTCCTTCGTTTTGCTGAAAAAGGATAATCAGTCATCCTTAAAATTAATTGGAAAAAAAAAAAAATCAGCTGGAACAAAATTAATGTTTGTTCAACCAAGCCTAAAGATTGTAACCATACAATGATATTGTATTTCAAAATTCTTAACATACAAAGAAAATAAAATGGTACATTATATTTAGCAACATACTGGCATCAAGGTCGAGCATTTGCATGATCATGAATGTGATATTTACACCAGCAACAGCAAAGGGATATTCCCAGGCAGCTCGCTCTCCCCCCTGCTTCTTTAGTAAACGTTGAAATGATGTCTGCAACAACAGAGAACAAGTGCTAAGTTGAACTATGTAAAGAGGCTTGTTGCAATATAGTTAAAATTAGTTAATGCAAATAAAAATTTGTAATAAAAGAGCATAGATAGTTTGAAACCAAGTAACTCTTACTCTATCCATATAATAGTCCTCAACAGTACTAGGTAAGGCAAGCAGAATAGAAAATCTTAATCACTGAATCTTCTTACCGAAAATGTCTTGGCAAAGAACAAAAGATTCTCCAAAGAAATGAAACCAGCTCCTCTGTTGATTAGCCAGAAGAGTCAAAGCTACATAACAGTAAAAAGAACATATATACCAAAATAAAAAGCAAAGTGTGGTCAAACCTGAAGTCTGTAGATGGATCCTTCCCCTGCCATCCCATTTCTTTCCACTGATCAGATATCAAACCATGGAGCTCCTGACCAGGGAATGTTGCAGACCACAATGCTCTCAATGCCTCCTGTGCACGAATTCCTTTATTAAAATGTTTGAAAGGAATGGTTCTCCCCAAAAGTTGAAAGAACTGGAACATGACTGTGGTTTAGGGTGGTTCAAGTTACTGTCTTTGGGGAGAATCATAGATTTAGCACCTCCAGAATGACTATAAAACAAACTTACAAAAATAAAAGCACACCTTGTGATCTGGATTTGAAGCATCAAAATAGGCCTTCATCCTGTGCTTCAATCTTTTCAGTCGTTCTTCCTACAAATTACTAACAAGTCCATCACCTATGAGGAAATGAAATAGTAAAGGAACTGATGAAAGCAAACAATGTCAAGAACCTTCACAAGGAAAAGCATAAACCTCAACTAAAAACTTTATTTACTTTGCCTACCTTCTCAAAAAGGACAAGAGCTAGAATGCCCAACAAGAAGAAAAAGTAAAAGCAGAAGGCAAAACCATCGAAACTAGCTGGCCCTTGAAAGATATACACTTTGTAGTCCAAGTGTCTAACAATATAGTGTATGATATAAGTAAGCTTTCTGTATCTTTAATTACTTGCCTGCTGGGGTGTCAAGTTAATGCAGATCTGTTCGTAGGCTCCTTTTCGCTTAAAGCAGACACATGTAAGGCCCTTACCAATCCAAGCAGGCGTCCCACAGGTGGCATCATCTGCATAAAACCAATCAAGTTTTCGGGTAACATTTCCATCCACATTCAATTTACAGCTAATATTTGAAAGGAAAAACTGTCAGTGACAAGCAGAGTATGACCACTTTTAGCAACCTGACCCAAGAAGAGTTCTGAAACATTTCATAGCAGCAAAATTCCAAGACTCCCTTCCCCAATTTCACTTCACACAGCGAAAGTGGGAGTGGACCAGAAACTTCCTATTTCGAATGCTGATTTTGTTGCGCCAGTAAACATCCCTCTCCACAATTAACAGAACCCATAAAATTTAGATGAAACAAATCATTGAAGTGGATATAGGAATATATTAGCAGTTTTCGGTTTCAATTACGGAAGTGGTGGGGAAGTGGGGACCGCCAATAGACAAAGTGGCGAATGGCACTTGACCCATCATTTGGATAATCTCCCAAATATCATTTTACCCCTTCTCCTTTCTCACCATAATATTCCATTTATTTCAATATTTTTATTTTTATCAACCATTTTCTAATTTTTAATTTGAGTTTACGCCTGAGAAAAAAAAAAAAAAACATGTTAAGAGAGTTCACCAGCAAAGAAAAATACTCTCCTTGATCCTTTACTATCTCTAGTACTAATGTCTGATGTAAATTTTAACAATAAGTTAAAAGCTTACATACCCATATTATATTTAAAAAAAGGTAAATTTTAAATATAAAAGATTATCTACAAATAAGAAAAGCATAATGTAGTTGTCCTAGGGAAACTGAATGCATTTTCCTTTCAAAAAAAATTCATAAAGAGAGAGAGAGAGAGAGAGAGAGAGAGAGGAAGGATGTTGAGGATTTGCCAAGTGCACCGCACACAGAGTTCCTTTATTTTTAGGAGAAAACCATTAACGTTTATAATATAAATAAAACAAAGTTTAGACACGTGCTTGACCGGGAATTTAGAACCAATACTCCGACAACAAGGGCAACCGAGTAAGGTAGACGTTGACGTCCAAGTTCTCGACCCAGATTGGTCGGAATATGTTCTGCACTCGCTCAACTCAAAGGTGCGCGAAAAAAGAAACATTATTATTACTAACCGAAAGTTGCCACACACCATTACTACTCCACCATAACCCCACCAGTCTGTTGCTACGTCAGATTTTGAAACATAAAGCAATAGGGTTATGAAGCATTATGACGATTAATTAATTAATTAATTTACAAATATTTTGAAACATAAAGAAACTATTATACTAATTTTCGGCTATATAATTTAAATTTTTTTTTCCAAACTTAAGTATTGTATTAATTATTAAAATTTTAAAGAAAATATTATGCAATTTAAATTGTATTCGATTACATAATTATAACTATTAAGTAGGCTAAACCCTTGATATTAAGAACTACACTTCATCCAATAACTTATATTTTAGTCTTATAATGTAATTTAAATTATAAAATAAAATATTTAAATTTTAAATTAAATAACCAAAAATTGAAGAATTAGATACCCAATATAAATGGAGAGAAAATGTATAGATAAAAATGTTAACTTTGTATTTTTTTTTATTTAAAAATATTAATTTTAT